CCTGGGTTGGGTCTGCCGTTCCAGAGACAGTGGCCTGGGGGCTGGTCCCCCTCCCTGCTGACATGGAAGTGTCACATGAGCGCACTCCCAGGCATCACACGCGGTGCTGGTCCCGGGGCAGCTGTAGCAAAGGTGAGGGAGGCCCGCTCACGCACACGCACACACCCCTGCGTACTCCCTCGGTCACCCACTTGTTCATCTGTTCCCCCAACAGCTGTGGTATGAGCCTGGGAGGCACCAGTGGCCTCAGGGGCCGGCAGCTTCGAGCAGGAAGCAGACCAGCAGCAAACAAATACATGGAAAGTCGCTCCAGAGGGCCAGGTTCCCTGGAGAATAACTCCAGGAAGCCCAGAAGAGACGTGGGCAGGACCCCGGGGCTGGTGGGGCAGGGTCGAGGGAGTCCAGATTCCTGGAGAGAGGGAGGTGGGCAACGGGCGGGGAGGGCAGGGCCACAGCTGGTTTGGGGTCTGTTGTGACAAGAGGGAGCCATGGATGGGTTGTAGGTGGGAGAGTAGCTGGGGGTGACTGGGGACGGGTGTCCAGGAGGCAGAGGTAGAGGGCGGGAGGGGAACACGGGCAGGGAGGCCAAGGCTGCCCCGCCCCACAGGCTGGAGAGTCTGGGGAGACCCCCTCACTCTGCACACGCCCCCGATACAGCAGGACCCCCAGCAGGCCCAGGGCCCAGGCTGTCAGGCCCTTCGCCCCTGCCTGACCGGGGCTGCAGGCTGGCGCCCTGCACGCGGCCTGCGCGGTAGCTGGTGCACAGGCGCAGGCCCCAGGGCCTGTGGTTCATTACGGGGCCCCTTATCTCCTGAGGGGCCTCAGCGAGCCCCTCTCCTCCCTGGGTGGGCGCCTGGTGAGGCTGCAGCTGTGCCCAAGCCCTGACCTGAGCCCTCGTGTCCAGGGGTAGACAGAGCTGGCTTCCGCCACCCAGACCGCCTCCACCCGCCCCGACTCCGCGCACGGTCCTGGCGCGCCCCCTGGTGGCCGATGGGCCAGACCAGAGACCCTGGGGTCCCAGAGGGTGCAGGGAATGAGGGGTCCCTGGGAGGTGTTCCGGGGGGAGGGGCTACAGAAGTGTCACCCAGGCTCTGCTTTCAGGTGTGACCCACAAGTTCCAGAAGCTGGATGGTTCAGGTGCCCATTTTTAGAGAAACTGATGCCCCAGAGTGGTTAAGGAGCCTGAAGGATCCTCAGGGCATGAGCCCAGGCCTCGGGTTGTGGACAGCACCCCCAGTCACGAACCCCGACACCCCATCCTGCCCCAGGTGAAGACAGTTGTGACGTGCCGCCTTCCCAGGACCACGCACCCCGGACACACCTGTATTGGCCGTACACTCTGGTACCTTTGCTGCCAGGGCTGGAGATTTTGCCTCAGTTTCCCCAGTTGGGATTTGTGGGCTAGGATTTCTGGGGCTGGAGAGAAACGCAGTTATGTTGGGTGGGACACAGACGGGACTCAGCCCCTGGCCACACGTGGAGGGCGTGACGCCAGCAGGGTGGTCTCACAACCACCCCTCGTGGGGTCACCTCCTGGAACTCGGCAACGAGCGTGCCTTGGGGGCCGTTGGGTCACCGGGGCCGGGAAAGCCTGGCCCTTGGTGCCTGGTGGCTTTAGCCACAGCAGGCCTGTGGGTCCCCGTGACCAGATCAGGTGGTGGCTTCGTTGATCATGGCATTGGCTGCCTGGGTGCAGGGGTGGTGGGCGGGGAGGGGGAGGAGCAGGGAGGTGGCTGCAGGCGCCCTGGGGGTAGGCAGCTTCCACTCTGCTCGCTGGCCAGCAGCTGCATGTTGGGGCGCCGGGGAGGAAACGGGCAGGTAGGTGCCCTGAGCCGCCAGCCTCCGGTGGGAGCAGGAGCAGGGCGCCCCTCCCAGGTGGGTCGGGTAGGTGCTGCGGGAGGGTCTGGGCTCCGGTCTGCAGCCCCAAGGGAATCCTGCCTCTCTGTGGGGGAGGCAGGGGCTTGGGGAAGGGGCCACCCCTCCACCCCAGGCCCAGAGCTGGTGCTCAGGGTGGGTCCCAGCAGAGGGGTGGCTCCCCCAGGCCCTGGGTCCTGGACTTTGGGGCAGCATCTGCCCAAACAGCCAGCACAGGAGGTGGGGGCTTGGAGCCGGTGCCTGTCCCGATGGGGGGAGGCTTGCCCGTAATGCCCTCTCCCCGATCCGCACCCCTTACCACCATCCCAGGGGTCCCACATCCTCACGGGCGGACAGAGGGACCCGGCACTGACCACTGGCCTGCAGAGCTCGCTGTGGGACTAGTCGGTGCCTTCTCATGGCTGCTCCCTTCCTGCATCTCAAGGAGGAAGCAAGGAGCCCAGAGAACCTGAGGGGGTTGCCCAGGGTCACCCAGCTGGGGTGAGGGGAGCAGGATGGGGCCCCTAGGGCCTGGCTGCCATTTCCCTGATGGCCTCTGAGATGGGGTGGCCATTTGTCCTCCCGTGAGAGCCCCCGGTAACTTTGCTGCCAGGGCTGGAGATTTTTGCCTCAGTTTCCCCAGTCAGGATTTGTGGGCTAGTATTCCAACCAGGGCTTATATAGGACGCCCCCCAGCTTCCCCTCCAGGAACAAGGGGGGCATTGAAGACCAAGACACCTGCTCATGCAAATCCTGCTTGTTTGCATACCCTTCCCACTTAGTGGCCCCATTTGCCTGGCCTCTGGCACCATGCCACCCCCAGTGCCCGGCACAATGCCCGGACACCCCCTCGGTCCCAGGCTGGAGTGTGGGGCGAGCGGTAGCGGCTGTGGTCCCAGGGATGACAAGGCTGGTGCTCCACACTCCTGCTCAGGACCACCTGTCCCGTCAGTGAGGAATTCCAGGGGTCGCCCACTGCCATCCCCGCCAGGTCCCCATCCCCGGCCTGGCCAGCCTGCGGCTCATGGAGCTTGAGCGTGTCACTGTTGTCCAGGCCCCAAACCCCCAAAGCCTCCCACTCCCTGGGCAGGGAGGCACATCCAGCCATGTCCCTCCTGCTCACAGGGCATGTGTCCAGAGGTGGCGAGCGATGACCCTGCAGCCGGCATGACAGGTCCTTGGTGGGAGTGAGGGCCATTCCCAGACAGCAGCCCTGTGGTCCCTGTCCTGTCCCCACCACCCCCCAGCAGGGCATACGCACGCCCCACCTTGCCACCTGTACTTTGGGGTAGAACGTCCCCCAGGACCTCAGGCTGTGACTCATCTGGAAATAGGGTCTTTGCAGGTGTCACTAGTTAATGTGAGGTCACGGTGAGTAGAGTAGGCCCTTATCCAGTGACCAGTGTCCCTGTGAGATGAGGGACATGTGGGCAGAGAGACACGTGAAAGACCACAGAAGGACGGAGGCAGAGGCTGGAGTCCCCAGGAGCCCTGGGAGCCAGAGGGGCAGACAGGACCCTCCCCGAAGCCTCCAGAGGGAGCGCAGCCCCATGGCACGTGGCTTTCGGACTTCTGGCTCTGGAGCAGGGAGCAGAGGACGTCACCCACCACCCTGCCTGGTCACAGCTCCCACTCACCCAGGGCCCAGACCCCAGCCTCCTATTAGAGGTTGCTAACCGCCAGCCGGAAAGGGCCCAGGTTCGTGCTCTGGGGGCGGGAAGCCAGGAGGATTTGCATCACCCCCCTCCCCCCCAGGGCTGTCAGGACCGAGCATCACCAGAGCCTCAGGAGGCACAGCCAGGCCTAGACGCAGGGTGGGATGCTGGCTCTGGCCTGAGGTCTGGGGGTCACCAGCAAGGCTCCGGCCTCGGCTCCTTGCCTCTGCATTGATGGCTGCAGGGTGTCCCGGGGGCCTAACCCGTGTCCTCACGGCCCATCTCCCAGTTGGGCTGTCACGGGGCCATGCCCTCTCGGAGGAGCGTGCGGAGGGCCTGCCTTGCTTCTTCCAGCTTCTGGGGTTCCCGCCTCTGCTGCGGGGTCACGTGGGCTTCTCCCCTTTCCTGACGAGGGCACCGGGCACTGCGTTAGGGGACACCCATCGAGCTCATCTCAAATCTGTCTGCAGAGAGCTTGTGTCCACAGGAGGCCCCGCTCCTGGGTGCCAGGGGTCAGGACTTGGACGTGTCCTTCTAGGAGACATAGCAGGAATGGCCACACGGATGCAGGTCCCTGTCGTCCTGTGGGGTCCTGCCCATCTCCGTCTGTCCCCTCTTGTGAACATGGGTGGCGCCTCCCTGAGAAACGGAGGGTGGCCTGATGGGGGAAGGGATTTTACCAAAGGCTCTTCCCATCGAGGTTGGGGTTGGGGGGCAGGGGGGTGGGGGGCAGGGGGCCGGGGGGGTGCTGTGGAGAAGCTGTGGACGCAGCTCAGTGGGAGGGGATCTGCCCACAGCCCGCCTGGACAGGTGGCCCTGGAGCCAAGGGCGGCCGGGACACAGGGCTTACCTGGGTGGGTGTCGAAGGGGCAAGGCTTCTTGAGGGCCCCGGAACCTAGGGCCCTTGGGCTCTGGGGAGACCCCTGCCCTGCAGGCTCACCCCTGCCCTGAGCATGCAAAGAGAACTGGCTGGAGCAGGACAGCTGGGGGAGACCTGGGTCTGCTAGCAGCCAGGTGGGCCACTGGGACCCAGCTCCTCATCACCTGGGCTGGCCGTGGACCCCCAGCCCTCGGTCCCTGGAGGGTGGGGTGGGGCGGGGCTGACATGCCCAACCCACCAGAGATAATCAGGGGCACAGTGCTGGGCACCGAACCTGGCAGCCGGCCAGGGAGGGGCAGTAAACTTTGATGGGAAGAGCCTGTGTGGGATGCCTCCCCCTACCCCAGGCCTCCTGGCAAGGGGGGCTTGTCTGTCTCCCCCATACCCATGCAATCTTCCCCAGGTCCCCACAGTCCCCTGCACCTAAGCTGTGTGCACCTGCCCGACCGTCTCACCTGCCAGTCCCCTCTCTGCCCAGGCACACCCGGGATGCCCATCCCCACCCTGGGCCAGTGGGCGTGTGGGGCAGGGGGGCTGCATGTCTGGAAGCCCATGAGACTTTCTGGCTCTCTAGGACATCCCCCACCAAAGCCCCTGCAGGAGTGGTGACGGGAGTGGCCGGCTTGAGGTGCCCAGGGCGGGGTGAGTAGCGGGACCCGGAGGGAGCCAGGTAGAGGGGCCGGGATGCACCCACCTGGGGAGGGGAGGTGAAGGAGCCTCCTGCACCTGCAGCCAGCTGCTGAAGGGGGCTGTGTGGACGTGGCTCAGGCAGGGCTAGCTGCTGGGGTGGACACTGGGCAGACCCCGCATCAGTGCCCCCCAATCCCCACCAGTGTGGCAGCAGAGGGAGCTCCCTCGGGAAGGCAGCCCTGGCCTCAGCACGTGGGCTCTGTCCCTGCAGAAAGGTCCTCATGCAGGATGCTGGGGGCACCTGTCCTGGCAGCCCCACGGCTGCTGCGCTGGGGTCGGGGCCCGGCCTGTGCCGGGGCGAGATCGAGTTTGGAGGGTCTGGGAAGAAGCGCGGCAAGGTAAGAGGCTGCCCTCCCCGCGCCCCCTGCCCCTTGGCCACAACTGAGGGCTCACTGCAACTCCTGTGCTCGCTTCCTGCCTCCCCTAACCCTGCGCACCCCCACCCGGTGTCTGCTCACTCTGGGGGGGCATGTTCAGAGCCCCCAGGCTGGCAGAAATTCGGAGCTGAGAGTGTCCTCTGCCCCCACAGGGCACATCCAGGACCCCTCCTCTGTCCACCCCTAACACCCCATGGAAAGGGAAGCAAGGTGCAGACACGAGTCAGGGCCGCCCGGGTCACAGGGCAGGTCAAGGCAGGACCCATCTGAGCCCTGGCATCCTGCTGCCACCTGCCCCTAGAAAGGGTTCAGCTTCTTTCCTAATGGTGGCAGCCCCCCACCCCGCGCCCAGGGCCCCCCAGTGCCCCATGCCTGACACGCCCCACCTTGCACCCTGAGGCCACTGCCCCCCATGCCCAGCGTCCCCCCACCCTGTACCCTGAGGTCACAGACCGTCCTACCCTGCAGTTTGTGAAGGTGCCCAGCAACGTGGCCCCCTCCGTGCTCTTTGACCTCCTCCTGGCTGAGTGGCACCTGCCAACTCCCAACCTGGTGGTGTCCCTGGTGGGTGAGGAGCGGTCGTTTGCCATGAAGTCCTGGCTGCGGGACGTGCTGCGCAAGGGGCTCGTGAAGGCGGCTCAGAGCACAGGTGAGGCCCCACCGGGGCCCCAGGACCCTGCCATGCCCCTTGGGTAGTGGAGCACCCACCCGCTGACCCTGGAGCTCCCTGCAGTGGGAGCAGCTCCTAGGGAGGCGGTGGGGGGGGGGCTGAGGTCCCCCAGGAGGTGCGGGCTCACCCCACTGGCCTCGGCCAGACACCCCTGGGGGTGGCGGCTCTGTCTGCACCCGTGACTGCAGTGGCCCCGTTGTCCTCTCCGCCTCCCTCCGGGCAGCATCTGGCGGGACGGTCCTGGGGTCAGAACCTGAGCACCGGGCTTGTGTTGGGGCGGCCGAGCCAGCAGGAAGGCCAGGGCGGGACGTGGGGTTTCCCAGCCCCCTCACTGCAGCGGTGATCGTTGGACAGCAAAGGAAAAGCTGACATACCCCACAGGCTGAGGGCCTCATGATTGGGAGAAACCCTCCCAGGCTCTGGTCCAGCTCGGACCACGGGACAGAGCAGTGGCTCACTGTCCAGGGTGGCCCCCGGGGCCCACTCCCAGCTGACACCCACAGGCCCGAGAGGTGCTGCGGCTCCACGGGCCTGGGGCCCCGGGCCTGCCAGCTGGGGGGAGCGGGACCTCGGGGCCCTCAGGCACACAGAGCTCCCTGCCGCAGGGGCCTGGATCCTGACCAGCGGGCTCCGCGTGGGCCTCGCCCGCTACATTGGACAGGCGGTGCGCGACCACTCTCTGGCCAGCACGTCCACCAGAGCCCGAGTGGTGGCCATTGGCCTTGCCTCGCTGGGCCGCGTCCTGCACCGCCAGCTTCTAGACAATGCCCGGGTGAGCATCTGGGGCGAGGTGGACCCAGGAAACAGGGAGGTGCTCACGGTCCCCAAGTGTCACCCACCCCAGGATGGGAGGGAGGTTCCCCTGGGAAGCCACATACTCCTGGGGAGCAGCCTTGAAGGCTGACTGCAGCCCCCCACTGCTCCCTGCTGTATATTTCGCAAACAGATCCTGGGGGCCGTCAAGTACCAGGCCTGTGGGGGACAGAGCAGCCCCTGCCCTGGGGGCTCATGGGCCGGGGAGGGAGGCGGGCACCCTGAAGGGTTGGGATACTGAGGTGAAGCTGTGGGAGGGGAGCAGGGCGAGGGAAGAGGGAGTGGAGGGAGCAGGGGGAGGGGAAGGAGGGAGGGGAGGGGAGAGGAAGGGGGAGGGACCGAAGGGACAGAGGGCGGAGGAAGAAGAAAAGGAAGCAGGAGGGAGGAGGGAAGGAAAGCCTAGGAGGGGAGAAAGAGGAAGTGAGAGGGGAGGAGGAGGAAGGGGAAAGCAGAGGAGGAGGGAGGAGGGGCAGGCCTGCAGGCGGCCAGCAGGTGGCAGCAGTGCCCAGGGTCCAGTGGGGGGGTCAGTGGGTCTGGGCACAGAGCAAGGCCCTGCCCAGGACAGGTGCCGGGCATCCCCAGAGGCCTGACCCCCCCCCCCCCGCCCCAGTGGCCACCACTCCCACTCCAGGGTCTGTCTGAGGCGGGGTGGTGAGCGAGGGGAGCTTCTTCTACCCGCTCTATCCTGAGGACCCCTCCCCCCCGGCCCCCCAGTCCCTGGGCCCCAGGCACAGCTGCAACCCTCCCTCTCCCCCTCCCTCTTCCTGGGCTGGGGTGGGAACAGGCCTGGCAGGAGGAGGGAGGAAGCCTGGCCCAGGCCTCACGCTGTGTGTTTGGGGTTGGGGGTTGTCCAGGAGCACAGCCCTGTCCACTACCCGGCGGACGAAGGCGGCAGCCAGGGCCCCCTCTGCTCCCTGGACAACAACCAGGCCCACTTCATCCTGGTGGAGCCTGGGCCCCCCGAGGAGGGGGACGGGCTGACCAAGCTGCGGCTGAGGCTGGAGAAGCACATCTCGGAGCAGAGAACCGGCTACGGGGGTGAGGCTTGCCCCAGGGAGGGGGCAGGGGTGTGGGGGGGGGGCAGGACCTCCAGGTGGGCAGAGGAGGGCCCTTGAGGCTGAAGGCACAGCACTGCCGGGTGCGGAGGCCGGGATGCTAAGGCCGTCAGGGCTGGGCAGCTGCCAGCGGGTTGGTGGGGACACAGCCACATGGGAGAGTATCACAGGTGTGTTTGCACAGGGACCCCCCTGCCCAGAGGCTCTTTCTGTGGGCTCAGGGCTTTGGAGAGAACATTGATTTGCAAGTTTTGAGAGGCTCATTTCCCAATACCGGCCACGAGGTACGCTGCCACCAGAGGGCAGTGTTACCTGAGGAATAGGCGCCACTGCTGCCAGGGGTGGGTTTGAAATCCAGATTTATTAAGAAATACCTGGTGTGAAACAAAAATTTATACACAAAACATATAATTGCTTATGATATTTATGAGCAATATAAAATATTTACTGAGTGTTCTTTTAAAATGAAAACACAACCAAAGCCATGTTTAAGCCACGTAGGTGGCGCGGGGCTCTGGGCTGCTGGAGCCTGGAGGGCCCCCACACCCCGACGTGTCCTTCAGATTCAATCAGGACGAGAACCAGAGGGGACCAGCCAGGGGCCTGGTGGTCCTGGCCTCCCCAGCACCAGCCAGTTTCTCATTCGGAAGTCTCATTTCTGATTTATGGTTGGGGGATGAAACCGGCCAAGGCCCCTCCTTTACCTCCTTGGTTTGCCTCTGTGGGCCTCGGATGGTCTGCAGTGCGGCCAGTAGAGCTTCCTGACGTGAGGGGATAGATGCGGGGGAACTAAATGTGGCTGGTGTGGCCGAGGAGTTTAAGTAGCCGTGAGTGGCCGTCCTGGACAGCGGGGGTGGAACGGTGCCCTTGTCCCAAGGGGGAAGGGGCATGTGTATGCGATATGCACCTGGAGCGCACACGTCACTAGCAAAAGCCCCTGGGCCGGCATCTGCCCAGAAAATGTGGTGGGTGGATAGTCTGAGGCCTGGGGGGCCCACAGGGAGGAGGCCAGGCTCCCCACTTGCCGGGCACCGGGGCAGACCTCACTGGTGCTCTGTCCACAGGCACCAGCAGCATCGAGATCCCTGTCCTCTGTCTGCTGGTCAATGGTGACCCCAGCACCCTGGAGGTAGGGCAGGGGAAGGGGGGGCCTGGGGGCAGCCCCCAATCTAACTATAGCTGCCTGCAGGGTCCTGCCCGGCCTGGGACGGGGCACCTCTGGCACGTGGGCATGTGGGCTCAGGAGGGCACCCAAGCTGATGTGGGGTCCACTCTCCCCACCGTGCCGCCTCAGAGGATTTCCAGGGCCGTGGATCACGCTGCCCCGTGGCTGATCCTGGCGGGCTCAGGGGGCATCGCGGACGTGCTGGCTGCCCTGATGAACCAGCCACACCTCCTAGTGCCCCAGGTGGCCGAGAAGCAGTTTAAAGAGAAGTTTCCAGGCGAACATTTCTGCTGGGAGGACATCGTGCACTGGACGGAGCTGGTAGGAGCCTCCCAGGGCCTGCAGGGGCCGATGGCCCTCCTCCTGGCCCTGTCCCCTCCTCCCGGGTGGGGCTGGCCCTGGGGGACACCCCTGCAGGTGCCTCTGTGCCCCTGCCCCATGCAGAAGGTGCTAGCTCCTCCCTCTCCCCACAAAGCCTCCCAGCTGGCTCTGCCTCAGGCCCTCGGAGAAAGCCCCCCGGGGGAAAGGGCTGGGGTGGTGCTGCCCGGGTGCGCTGGGCAGTGAGCTGGCACACTTGCCAGGACCCGCCTCACACGCCATGTGCCCAGCTCGTGCCTCCCTCCATGTGGGGCTCGTGGCCTGTCCCCTGCCCCCAGGGCCACCTCAGGGCCTTTGTCCTGGTGTCCCAGCTGCAGAACATCACCGCCCACCCGCACCTGCTCACCGTGCATGACTTTGAGCAGGAGGGCTCCGAGGAGCTGGACACGGTCATCCTGAAGGCGCTGGTGAAAGGTGAGGGCCTGGGTGGAGGTGGGGTGGCCAGCCGCCGCTCCCCATGGCCCTGGGCTCTGTGCCTGGCCTGGGGCTGCTTCCCACACCCTGCCCTGTCATGGATCTCACCCTCCAGGGGCTGGCAGGTGAGGCAGGGCCACTGCCCAGGTGCAATGTCAGCAGCTGGGACCCCTGGCTCGGTGTCCCTCTACTAAGTTTGCACTCGCACGTGTGTGTGTGCATGAGTGCCAGGCCTATATGCATGTGTGTCTGTACATGCACCTGTGTGAGTGCCTGTGCCTACCTATAGGCATGCATGTGTGGACGTACATGCACCTATGTAAGTGCCTGTGCCTATATGCGTGTATATGTGCACCTGTGAGTGCCTGTGCCTATGTGTGTGCTCGTGTGCGTGCGCCTGTGTGAATGCCTGTGTCTATATGTGTGTGCATGTGCATGAGCCTGTGTGATTGCCTCTATGTATGTGCGTGAGTGCCTGTGCGTGTGTGTGCATGTGCGTGCGCATGTGTGAATGCCTGTCTATATGTGTATGCATGTGCACCTGTGAGTGCCTGTGCCTGTATGTGTGCACGTGTGTGTGCGTGTACCCATGTAAGTGCCCATGCCTATACGTGTGCGCGTGCTCGTGTGCGTGCGCCTGTGTGAATGCCTGTGTCTATATGCATGTGCCTGTGTATGTGTGTGCCTGTGTGCAAAGCTCAGCACTTGCTTTTCCAGCCACACGCATAACTAGAATGACATATAGAGATGACATGCAAATCCGTAAAGGGTCCTGTGTTGGCAGGTTTTACCGTAATTTAAGAAACTATTTCGAGTGTTCAATCCGGTGGCTTTTAATCCATTTGCGAGTTGTCAGCCACCCCACTGTCTAATCCGGATGGTGTTCATGGCCCCGGACAAAGGCAGCACCCCTCAGGCACCCTGGCATCCACCGACTTGCCTCTGGACAGAAGGATGTGCCCGCATGGGGTCGGTCCTTCCATCACTGGGCAACAACTCGCGTCCATCGGCTCCTTCCTCCCAGCCCGGTGTTTCTGAGGATCGCGCACACTGCAGCACCTGTGGGTGCCTCGTTGCTTTTTAAGGCTGAGGGATGCTCCACGCCAGGACCCGCATTTGTCTCTGTGCTCCTCTCTCGACCACGTGGGCTGTCCTTCTGTCCAGCTGTCACTCGATACCTTTTGCTATTGTGCCAAGGGACTGACTTTGGGGGAGCCAGACAGACCCAGGCCCAGAGAGGCAGTTTGGGGCCGGGCCGCCCTGGTGGGAGGGGAAGCTCATCCAGACAGACTGACTGTCCATTCACTCCTGCTCTGCTCACCTGTCCCATCGGGGTCTCGGGGGCTGGCGCTCCTGCCAGGGTCCCCAGCACCGGCTCCTGGGAGTCTTGTGACGTCATGAGCCCCTCACTATTGTCCAGGGGGTGTGAAGCCGGCTGCCGTCCCCCAGCCAGGAGGACCGCCGCCTGTCCCATCGGGCCCCGTGCCCACTGGTCCTGACAGCCCCAGGTTCACCCCTCACCTCCCGCCCACTCTGTGCAGCCTGCAAGAGCCACAGCCAGGAGGCACAAGACTACCTGGATGAGCTCAAGCTGGCCGTGGCCTGGGACCGCGTGGACATCGCCAAGAGCGAGATCTTCAACGGGGACGTGGAGTGGAAGGTGCCCACCTGCCGGGCAGCTCATGCCTCCAGGCCTCGCTTCTCGCTGACTCAGGGCGAGGACCGCACTGAGGGCCACTGGTGGGCCCTTCCCCGCTCGCTGAGTGGGTGACAGGGAGCCCAAGGCACCTGCTGGGGGCTCCTCACTCAGGCCTCCAGGGGAGGATGGGCCTTCCCAGTGCCCAGGGCCTTGTGGCCGCTCAGAGGGACAGGCTGGGGCACAGGAGCTGGGGGGGCTCCCTGAGCACTGGCTCCTGCTCACTCTGCCCGTCTCCCCCACCTGGGCATGTCCCGTGGCGGCCCAAGTCCTGTGACCTGGAGGAGGTGATGATGGACGCACTGGTGAGCGACAAGCCGGAGTTTGTGCGGCTCTTCGTGGACAACGGCGCTGACGTGGGGGACTTCCTGACGTACGGGCGACTGCAGCAGCTCTATCGCGCCGCGCCCCCCAAGAGCCTGCTCTTCGACCTGCTGCAGCGCAAGCACGAGGAGGGCCGCCTGACGCTGGCCGGCCTGGGCACCCCGCAGGCCCGAGAGCCGCCCGTGGGCCTGCCCGCCTTCTCCCTCCCTGCACGAGGTCTCACGCCTGCTCAAGGACTTCCTGCACGACGCCTGTCGCGGGCTCTACCAGGAGGTGAGCGTCCACTGGCGGGGAGGGGCGCGGCCGGGCCACCAGGAGACTGACGGCCCTGTCCTCCAGGAGCGGGGACCAGCCAGGCGGCCCGAGGGCCGGAAGTGGCCGCTGGATCTGAGCCGAAAGAGTGAGAACCCCTGGCGGGACCTGTTCCTCTGGGCCGTGCTGCAGAACCGCCACGAGATGGCCACCTACTTCTGGGCCATGGTGCGTTGGCCCCGGACTCCTGGGGGACCGGGCGGGGGGTTGGGGGGAAGGCAGGTGGCCTCCTCAGACCCTGCCTCCTAGGGCCAGGAGGGGGTGGCCGCCGCTCTGGCCGCCTGCAAGATCCTCAGAGAGATGTCGCACCTGGAGACGGGGGCCGAGGTGACCCGCACCGTGAGCGAGGCCAAGTATGAGCAGCTGGCCCTGGGTGAGCCACTGGCCTGGCCCTCAGCCCACCAGACGCCCCTGTGGGTCTGTGGCTCCTCCTAGTGGGGAGGCGGACCCTAAAATTCCAGCATCGGACAGACGGGTAACTCTGACGTGGCCTTGGGCACACACCGGGTCCTGCAGCCGGTCGGGCATTTGGGGTGATTGGCAGGGGAAGGAAGGGCCCCAGCAGGTCAGGCGGGGAGGCGGGTGCAGCCTGGGGCTGCGGCAGTGTGGGTGCCAGCGGCCGGTGCCCGGGCCAGGCCTCTTCTCCGAGTGCTACAGCAACAGCGAGGACCGCGCGTTCGCCCTGCTGGTGCGCAGGAACCGCTGCTGGAGCAGGACCACCTGCCTGCACTTGGCCACCGAGGCCGACACCAAGGCCTTCTTTGCCCACGACGGGGTGCAGGTGAGCATCTGGCTTCGGGGAGGGCAGATAGGAGGCGCCCGGTCATGCGGGGCAGGGGGCGTGGTGCGGGGGGCTCTACTCCTGGGAGGCGCCAGCCTGGCTTCCTTCTCCTTGCCCCTGGCCAGCCCCCCGTCTGCCTCCGGCTTCAGCACGGCCCTCCTGCGCCCCCAAACCCAGCCTCTCCCTGTAAAGGGGTCTTCCCCGCTGGGATGCCTAGGAGGCCAGTGGCTGTGCCTCTGCTTCAGGCTTTCCTGACCAAGATCTGGTGGGGGGACATGGCGTCGGGGACGCCCATCCTGCGGCTGCTGTGTGCCTTCCTCTGCCCGGCCCTCATCTACACCAACCTCATCACCTTCAGGTCTGTTGGGCGCAGGAGGCTGCCGGCTTGCCAGCCGCGGGGGGGCCCTGGGCTTCGCAGTGCCGGCGGTGGCGTGTGTCCATGGCTCCCACATCCAGCATCTGTGCGGGCCCCGCTCAGCATGCCCAGCGCTTCCTTGGGTGGCTGGTGCTTGGGGCCCCGCAGGCACTTCCAGCGCCCTTCCCGCGGGTGCCGAGGGTCCCCTGTGCTTGCAGTGAGGAGACTCCGCCGCGGACGGGCCCCCGAGACCTTCAAGAGCTGGACAGCCTGGACTCAGAGAAGAGCCTGCTCTGCGGCCCGGGCAGCCGGTGAGGCCGTGGGGCAGGCAGGACGGGGGCCGCACCTGCTCCGGGGGGACCCCTGCCCCGCTTCACTGTCGGCTGTGCTGTCCTTGTGCTGCAGGCCGGAGGACTTGGTGGAGGCACCAGGGGCCAAGAGTGACCAAGGGCCTCGTGCTGCCTTCCTGCTCACGCGCTGGCGGATGTTCTGGGGCGCGCCCGTGACCGTGTTCCTGGGGAACGTGGTCATGTACTTTGCGTTCCTCTTCCTGTTCACCTACGTCCTGCTGGTGGACTTCAGGCCGCCTCCTCAGGGGCCGTCTGGGCCCGAGGTCACCCTCTACTTCTGGGTCTTTACACTGGTGTTGGAAGAGATCCGGCAGGTCAGTGGAGGGCCCAGCCCAAGGAGCCCTAATCTCAGCTGAAGGCTGAGCCCTGATCCCCGCTCCAGGCTGAGCCCTGATCTCAGCTGAAGGCTGAGCCCTGATCCCCGCTCCAGGCTGAGCCCTGATCTCAGCTGAAGGCTGAGCCCTGATCCCAGCTCCAGGCTGAGCCATTATCTCAGCTGAAGGCTGAGCCCTGATCCCCGCTCCAGGCTGAGCCCTGATCTCAGCTGAAGGCTGAGCCCTGATCCCAGCTCCAGGCTGAGCCATTATCTCAGCTGAAGGCTGAGCCCTGATCCCTGCTCCAGGCTGAGCCTGATCCCAGCTCTGGGCTGAGCCATGATCCCCACCGACCCCAGCCTGGGTTGGGCTGGGCTGGGCAGGGCAGGGCTGTCTCCCATGAGCCGTCAACGGACTGCCTGCCCCTCTGCCAGGGATTCTTCACAAATGAGGATACACATCTGGTGAAGAAGTTCACACTCTATGTGGAGGATAACTGGAACAAGTGTGACATGGTGGCCATCTTCCTGTTCATTGTCGGTGTCACCTGCAGGTCTGTGGGGCCCAGAGGCCTGACGGGGGACACCTCAGTTGGGCTAGTGGGCCGGGCCACCTGCATATGAAGCCGCAGAAGGCCTCAGAAATCCCAGCTCGTCTGGCCCCCATGCTGTGTGTCCTCACACAGGAGGAAGCTCCTTCTCGTCTGTGGGCACTAGCAGCCCATCCAACCCACCACCCTCCCCCAGGATGGTGCCCTCGGTGTTTGAGGCGGGTCGCACAGTGCTCGCTGTTGACTTCATGGTGTTCACGCTCCGACTCATCCACATCTTTGCCATCCACAAGCAGCTGGGCCCCAAGATCATCATCGTGGAGCGCATGGTGAGCCCCTGCCGCACCTAGCCTGCCCTGGCCCCCGGCGGCTGGCGAGATGGCGCCCCCCAGCCCGATGACCACTGACACTCTCCTCTCTTCCCCTCCCCTCCCCCTGCCCCCGGGAGATGAAGGACGTCTTTTTCTTCCTCTTCTTCCTGAGCGTGTGGCTTGTGGCCTACGGTGTGACCACACAGGCCCTGCTGCACCCCCACGACGGCCGCCTGGAGTGGGTCTTCCGCCGCGTGCTCTACCGGCCCTACCTGCAGATCTTTGGGCAAATCCCACTGGACGAGATCGATGGTCAGCACACGGCCCCGGGGAGGGGCAGTGCCTCTGAGGCTGCTGGGAGTGGGACCTGAACTTCAGGGTGCAGCCAGATGGGGTCCAGTTTAGTCTCCTTTTAGAACACCCAGACATGGGGCCCTTGAGAGGGGCCTTTTGGGGCCACGTGAGGCCCCAGCCAGGAGCTAGCCGAGATGGGGGTCTCTGCGGCCAGCCCCCAGGCCCCACAGCCCAGGGGCAGCTCTAGGCTGATCTTTGTTGGTCACAGGGCCCCCAAACTTTGGGCCCCAGGAGAGAAACTGAGGTGTGAGGAGACTGCAAAGCAGGCAGGGGCCAGCCTCTGCTTTGGGATGGTCTGGACCAGGGGCTGCCCTGGTCCACCCCTCCCCGTCACGAGGCCAGCCCCACACCCCAGAGCCTCTGCCCTCCTGGAGGACCTGCAATGACAGCAGGCCCCCATCACCCACCCACCTGCCAGAGGCTCCGCATCAGGCCCTGTGCCCCCCGAGGCCAGGCCCCTGTGCTGTGAGGCCGTTGCTGACAATACCCTTGCTGCTCCTGGGGACACAGCCAAGTGTGTGCCTTACCTACTGTGTGTGTGGCCTACCAGAGGGTGCAGGTATCTCCAAGGCGGCGCTCATGTGGGCTGAGGCCAGTGGAGGTTCCAAGAATTTTCCAGGACCGTGGGTACAGTGGGGGTAGAGCTGCTCTGCCGCGGGGGGCCGGGTGGTGACAGGAGCAGGGAGCCCCAGCATGGGGGACGGGGACACCTGAGCAGACCCCGGGGATGGCTAGGATGCTGTGAGGAGGAGGGGGAGAGGGAACCAGTCCCTTGGGGAAGGTGAGGCAGCACCAGGGGCCCAGGGTGGCCAGGGGCCCAGGGTGGGGGGCGTTCACGGAGGCTGGTGCAGGGCTGGGCTACCCGGGGCCCCAGGGCAATCACAGGCGCACCATGTCTAAGGCCCGACCCCGACCACCACAAAGCTAATGAGGTGAGGTCAGTGTTCCCGCCACACACGGTAAGAGTGACACAAACAGGCCGCCGGGATGGGGAGCGGTGCTGCCGTGGAAGTCAGCTCACGAGAGTGCTCTGGAGGCCCACTTCCTTGGTCTGTTTGTGTAGCCCGTCCCCTCGCCCTGTGACTCCTGGGTGTCTGCTCACCCCCATGTTCCAGGCCTAGTTTCAGCAGAACCTGCCTCCCTCCCTGTACGGCCCCTGCCCACTCTGTCCTGCAGGGCCCTCGGGAGGCAGGGGGTGCCGGGGTCACTTGGAGGGCCACATTTCCGGCTGGCCAGCCCCAGCCGCATGACAGTGTGCAGTGGGGTCACAGCCCCTGCTCCCCAAGAGGCTGGGGCCACGCAGGGAGGGCAGAGTGCTGTAGTACCATGGCCGTGACCAGGGCCAGCTCCCTGAGGGTCCTGTGCAGCCCCCTTCCGCTCCTGGGCTGGGCTTCCTGTCTGCTCGGGCCTCTGGGGAACTCCACCCCCCGGGTGATGTGCAGCCTGTCGGTCTGGGGCCCAGAGCACCACCCTGCCCTCCCCATCCCTGTGTGCCAGGCTTCAGACCTGGGGACAATTTAATCTCCAGCCTGGTGGCCCGTCTGAGAGTCACGGGGTCTCGTGGCTTTGGAGTCTGGGTGCTGGGGAGAGAGGGTCGTTGAGTCAGGCTGGTGACAGGCTGCAGCTGTGATCCTCAGCACCCTCCCCCGCCGCCCCCACGGGCATGCCTGCCCAGCACACGGAGCTCAGCCTGTTCCCAGATCGGGCAATCCTTCCACTGCCCAGAGCATGTTCTTCGAGCTGGCCCAGGGCACTCTGTGTCCACAGTGTCTGCAGCAATCAGTTAAGGGTGGTGAGGCCACATGAACTTTGGAGATGGTGTAGACTTGCCCCTACCCTCCAGCTGGGTGCCATGTGACAGGCCTTAGTTCCCTGAAGGCCCTGACAAGTCCTGCGGGGGACGAGGTCACCGTCACCCCTTGCTTTGGCCAGCTCTCTCCACACCACAACCTTCGGTGGTGGTGGGGAATCCATACAACTACCAGCAGAAACTGGGGGGCACAGAGGAGGACCCAGATGCCTTGGCTCTGCCTCCAGAACCTGTGGCCCTAGGTGAGACTGTGGTCAGGAGGAGGAGAACATGGGACCAGTGCCCACAGGCTGACCATAGGCCTCATGTGCTAGGACTGGGGTGTCCTAAGACAGGAACTTTCAGTGCTAAGCCAACTAATCCCCAGCCAGCCAGGACAGGTGGGCCATGCAGCCAGTGCCCTCAGAGCCTGGATGGCCTCAACCCTAGGACCAAGCTCTCAAGATCTGACAGTGTCATATAAGGTGTCCCCCCAATGCCACTTGTTTCAGAATCCCGTGTGAACTGCTCCCTGCACCCCCGACTGCACGAGGGCTCCCCATCCTGCCCTAACCTCTACGCCAACTGGCTGGTCATCCTCCTGCTGGTCACCTTCCTGCTGGTCACCAACGTGCTGCTCATGAACCTGCTGATTGCCATGTTCAGGTGGCCCAAGCCCTGTTCTCCCTCTACTTGTGGGTGGTCCCGGTGGCCCCTGTGCCCCAACCCTCCAGACCCGGGGCTGCAAGTGCCTCTCTGCCCCCAAGGGTCTGGGGCTTATGTGGGGAGAGGCCTGGAGGTAGGGTGTCATCCCAAACTGGCAGAGCTGGAGGAGGGTGATGCAGTGAAGGACAGGTGTGGGGAAGGGTTGCAGTGGGGGCCGGCTGCCAGGGCAGGTTTGCACTGGGAAGCCTGGGCTGTCCGGGAGAGCGGAGGGCAGAGTGAACCCCATTCTATACACAGCCCGCAAGCGAGATGAGCGGCTAGAGGCAATCACAGGAGAAGAGGGTGGGAGCTCTGTCCACGAGGACCCCACAGCCCCAGGAGCAGTCTGAGGCCGCAGAGGGAACAGGATGGGAGCACATGGGGTGCTTGTGTGTTCACCGCTGCCCACATGCCTGCCCCACAGCTACACATTCCAGGTCGTGCAGGGCAACGCCGACACGTTCTGGAAGTTCCAGCGCTACCACCTCATCGTGGAGTACCACGAGCGCCCCGCCCTGGCGCCACCCTTCATCCTCCTCAGCCACCTGAGCCTGGTGATCAAGAGGGTCTTCCAGAAGGGGGCTGAGCAGAAGCGGGTGCACCTGGGTGAGGACACAGGGCAGGCCGTGTGCAGGGGGATGGGCGAGGTGCCAAGTGGGCAGAGGCCCGGGTCCCCTCCTCAGCCCCCAAGGCCCAGAGCAGCTGACACGGGCTGCACCCCCTGCCCTCCCTCCACCTCATCCCCAGGGCCTGTGCACAGTAACCGGTAGGGCCGGGGGCGGGCCTCGCTGGTGCCAGGGCTCCTGGGGCCGGATACCCGCTGGGCACAGCCTGGGCTCCCCTGGCCCTGGGGCCCACCTGGCTCCAGCCAAGCCTGTGGCTACCCCGGCTTCCCAGAGAGAGACTTGCCGGAGCCCCTGGACCAGAAGATGGTCACCTGGGAGGCGGTCCAGAAAGAGAACTACCTGAGCAAGCTGGAGAAGCAGAGAAAGGACAGCAAGGAGGAGGTGCTGCGAAAAACAGCCCACAGGTACACAGGGGCTTTACGGGCGCCCCGGAGCCCCCCACCCCCTGGCCTGGAGACCAGGGACTGCATCCCCCACCCCACAGGCCACCAAGAGGGGCTGGCAAGGAGGGCAGGTGAGGTGCCTGCTGAAGGAGGGCCAGACCCCGAGTGGGGCACCTGAGGTTGTGAGAGCCCCTCCGAGACCCCTGCCATCATCACTGCTGGGCAGCGGGCGGCTTAAAGCTGGCGTGGCCCTCCCTGCCAGTCACAGGTCCGAGTGGGGGTGGCCGAAGCTGAGAGGGGCAGGGGGGCCCCTCCTTGCTCTGCGGCCTCCTGAACAAATTCCCCCCGCCCCTGCCCCTGGGTCCCCCTAAAACGGTCTGTGCCCACTGTCCCATCAGGCCTGCGGTTCCTGCCTGCCCTCATCCCCTGCCCTCACTGGCAACCCCTTAGCCCATCAAACTCTCAGGGAGGGCAGAAAGGCTCTGTACCCTGATCTGGGGATGACGGGCAAGGGCAGACCACTCCATGCAGAGAGGCCTCGGTGACCCCAAACCCACTCAAAGGGTCTGGGTGACCAGGGAAAGGGAGGATGGAGAGATTGCCCAAATGGAGAGCACCCCATGCCAACCAGCTTCTGCTACAGGGTGGACTCTGTAGCCCAGTACCTCGGGGGCCTGAGAGAGCAAGAAAAGCGCATCAAGCGTTTGGAGTCACAGGTAAGCAGGCCAACCTCATGCTCCTCTCACCTGGGGCCCTCACCCATAGCCCTGCACCCCAACATCCAAACTAACGGGCCCACAGCCAGGCTTGGACTCAGCAGGCAGTGTAGGGAGAGGCCCTGGGGGGTGCAGGAGCTGTACCTGCCCCCGTAAGTGATCCCTCACTGTCCACACCTGCAGCCTTGCTCTCACGCCCATTCCCTCGAGTACAGACCCCAAAGAGGAGGGTCATGGGCTAGCAGGGGCCCCGGGGATTCCCTGGATGCTCTCCCTCCTCTAGATCAACTACTGTACAGTGCTCCTGTCCTCCATGGCCCCGAGCAGCACCTCCTGGAGTAAGTGTGTGTCCGGAGAAGACAGGGCTGCGGGAGGGGCACAGGCTTGCCTGGGGGCAGGCAGAAGGCTGTTAAGCTCTGCTGTGTCATCTGCCTTTCTGTTCCGCAAGGGGACTGGCCCAGGCCTCTCATGGCCCTTGGTGGGAGGTGGTCTTTAGGGTGGGGCAGGTGCCCTCTGCCAAAGCCCACCACCTCAGCCAGGCGTGACGCCATGGCCACTCAGACTCCCTTCCCTGGGCCTACCCCCCTGGACACCCAGCAGCTAGGGGTCCTTCTTCCTCACCAGACTCCCAGAACTTCAAAGGTGGACACCAGCAGGCCTCTGCTGACCACAGAGGGGGTGCAGACGGCAGGAAGCACCCAGAGGCTGGCCGGCCGCTCTCAGACACCTGAGCTACTTGGACTCCTGGCACACAGGGCCCACCTTTCCCCGAGCCCCAGATCAGGATGGGCAGGCAGGGTCTTGGCCCTTAGCTGGCCATCCCAAGGCCCTATGAACACACCAACCTTCCCCTACCTCTAGTGCAGCCCTCAGTGGGACGTAGCTCTCAGCCTTGTCAAAAGAAACCACCCCTTGCCCTGCCAGGCACCCTCTCCACCTGGAAGCACGGTGGTGTATATGGTAGGCCCTCCCCCAGACTGGTGGAACCTGTGGGCCCTTACCCAAAACTGCCCAGCTCAGGCCAAAGCACCTATCTGGTGGGCAAATTTTGGGGCCTGTACTTGTCTCCTATCAGACTCATGTTGCCTGTTAAAAGACTTTTTTTTTTTTTTTTAAAACACTAGCGGCTATAACTTCTGCCCTTTAGGACCTGGGGTCAGGGGTTTCCTATGCACACTGGTTCCCACCCCTGCACACCCTCAACTGCTCACATGGAAAATGCTGTCCTGAGAAAACCTGCCGTGTGTGTGTGTGTGTTTGTGTGTGTGTGTGTGTTGGGGAGGAGGGTGGGGGCTGGCTCCTGTGCTCGCCCGAGCTACATCCTGGGACAGGATGGCTGATCTCTGCTAGGTCCCGCCACCAGGAGCAGGGGAGACATCTGTGTCTAGTCTGCCTTCCCTGACACCCTCAGGGGTCCATGCGCCCCAACCCAAGGTTGGGCCAGTCACACCAGCAGTGCCCCTGCACACGGCTCAGCTGTTCTGGCGATGTGACCAGGACACTGGTCATCATCACACATGGCCCGGATGAGGAAGGGTCCCTGTCCCCACTCACATTCCGGCCTCCTAGAGACCCATCTCATCACCCTGTTGGGGGCAGAAGCTGGACACCTGGGACTGTGGGGTTGCCCCCTCGAGGGCCTGGGGCCTTCTCCACCTCTTGCTCTGGATCAGGAGAGCTGGAAAGAGGACCTGCTGGTGAACCCAGGCATGCATTTAAAAAGCTTCCATGTCCGCTGGAGATTAAGTTGGAGAGGCTCAAATGAGAGAACCGGGTGTTGGGTGTACAGCATGGTGGACAATGGGCCGAGGTGCAGGATCTACACAAACACACACACACAAAGGCTGAGCAACACCGAAAACCTTTACTGTGGCCCCACAGGCATGTAGTGGGCCAGGGTCTTTGCTGTCCACTGGCAAGCTGTCTGCTTCAGAGACCACTATCCCGAGCCCTAGCCCATGCCGCTGGCTCCCTTTCCAGGGCGGGGGGCCCCAAACTCCACTCCACTCCAAGTGGCCAGTGATCCCGGCTGCCCTCCTCCACCGCATGGTCAGGAAACGCCAGCCAGGCAGTCTCTTCTCTCAGATCTCTGCACCTGGGGCCTCAGGTGTGTTGTTCTTGTTCCGGAAATGGTCCCTGCTCCGCTTCCTGCTACCGTGGAAGCCAACAGTCTCCACCACTGGGGGCCCCGCCGCTGACCTAGCATGGGCAGCCCCCTGTGGCACGTCCACTTCCTGTAGCCCCCCGTGGGGGCTGTTCCCTTCCTCAGCCTCTGGGCTCCCAGGCTCTGCTGCCAGGTGGGCCAGCTCCACAGGGCCCTCACCCCCTGCTGCTCCCAGGTCCCCAGGGGCACCCCTGCCTGGCTCTCCTGCCTTCCTCAGGGCCCTCTTCCTCTCAGGCCTGGCCTCGCCAGCTCGGGCTGGTTTGGTGAAGAGGACTCTTCCCTCCCCACAGCTGGAGGGATCCTGGTTGAAGGACGGCATGTAGTCTCTGGGGCCAGCCAGGCTCTGGGAGCTCAGGAAGGCCAGGGCGGCAGCCTGATTGCTCTGCTCACTGACCTCGGCTACGTTTTCCAGGCTGTACTTGGTCCAGCGCTCAGGGTGGGCCATGTAATCAGGGATGGGGGGCAACTTAGTGGGGGCAGGGCTCTGACTGGCCCTGCCCGGGCCCTCTCCTGGAGGCTGGTGTGAGGATGCCGGTGGCTGCATGAAATCCTCATGGTCACCCAGGTCTTGCCTGGCTGCGCCCTCCAGGCAGTCAAAGATGTTGCGGCTGCGCCAGGAAAAGGTGGAGCTCGTGCCTCTCAGGTGGAAGGGCTGTACTGAGGCTGTGGGGAGGCCTTTCGAAGGCAAAGGGGTCTCATCGGGGTCTGAGTCCCCCTGGGCCTCCCCAGACTGCACCCCCGGGGGCAGAGCTTCCATCTCAGTACTGCCAGGCAAGCTGAAATCGGAGTCCGAGTCACTAAGAGAGACGGTGTCGGAAGGCAGAGCGTCATCCTCTGTTCCTCGCTCGGCTTCCAGGGGCTCTCCTACCCCTACCTCAGACATGTGTCCCAGGGCCACCACACCTAGACCAGAACAGCCCAGTAAGTTTGTTTCTGAAGATTGCACCCATTTAGGACGGGCCCCTCCTAGAAACCCACAGTCCCTAGGCAGGCGGCAGCGCCAAAAGGAAGAGCTATGTCCTAGCAAACAAAGGACAGAGATTCTCCCCCCGCAACGTCTCACCTCCGTTGTCTGATGAACGTCTGTGCGGACACCAGAATTCTGGCGGGTGAAGTCCCGGCAAAGGCGCCTGGTGGCCTCAGTCCCGGCTCCACTTAGCTGCTCCACTGTAGCGGGCAGAAGGTGGGAAGGACAAATCGTCAGGGAGCACCAGGGCAAAGCGGTACCGCGACCCCCAGTGGGACCCCCAGTGGGACCCCCAGCGGGCGGTCCTGGGTTTCCGGGGCCCAGGCCCAGGCAGGCCTGGGCGCAGATCCTTTGGGAAGATCTTCATTCAGCCCTCTTGAGCTAAGTCTAGGGGCCCGCTGGGGGTGGGGGTGGGGGTGGGGGTGGGGTTAGGCAGGCAGCAGCCAGGGCCTGACCCCGGGGCAGCAGCAGGCTCTGCGCTAGGCGACGGCGCTCGACCAGGCGGCGCGTCTACGAACTGCTCAGCGCAGCTGCGCCGCCTGCCCGGGCAAGGCAAGGGCTGCCCCTGCCTGCCGAGACGGCCCAGGGCTCCACGCGGGTCTGCAGCCGGGGCCTCTGCGTCTGACCGTCAGGCCCGCGGGGAAGTGGGGGTCAGTGGCCGCCGGGGCATCCTTGCGGGCGGGGCAAGCCCGCGGCGCCGGCAGCAGCCTCTCCTGGCACGTCCCGAGCCCCGCCTCACCCGTGCACCCGCCCGCCTGCCAGCCCAGGGGGACCGGGCAGGGGGCCAGGCGCGGCCGCCGGCGCCCGGGCACGGCCCCGCGAGGGAAGAGGCCCCGGAGGGCGGGGCGCCACCGCGACCTTGGGGGGCGGCCGGGCCGGCGGGCGCCCCGGGGTCGGGCACAGCGCCCCGCGACAGCGAGCGGCCGCGGCGGCTCCCGGGCTTCTCCGCGGAGGCCGGCAGCTCGGCGGGGGCAGGGCTGGGGCGCGCTCGGCCGCCCGTGGTGGAAGCCGGCGCCGGCTGTCTCCGCCCCGGCGGGGGTCTGGCCGCACGCGGGCCGCGGCTCACCAGGCTCGGGGAGCCACCAAAGACGCGAAACACCTCGGGGATGTGGGGCAAGGAGGCTGCGAAAAGGCGACCTCGCTCCCGCGCCACAAGCCTACCGGCTCAAAGCCGCCGGGCCGCCTCCATCTTTCGCCGCGCTCGGCCTCCTGGGAAACCGAGTCTTCCGCCGGCCCGGCGCCTCGGCGTCCGCACCTGAAGAACTACACCTCCCACAAGGCACCGGGACGCTACTCCCGAGGCCTGTCGGGTCCCGTAGCCCCTGCGCATGCGTCCTCGCTTTTCTCCACCCCCCTCCCCGGAAACGTCGGCTCTCCTTCGCGCAAAGAGCCGGAATTGAGGAGGGAAAGGAGGGAGGAGGAAGAGGCAGCACTGCGACTCCCAGAATGCTCCAGGGTTAACGGCCAGCGCCGCGTTCCCGGGGCCCCAGCGCCGCCTGCTGGAAGTCGCGAGCACAGCGGCCGCCTCAGACCGGAAGTGCATCGTCGCACGCGGCATCCTGGCCGGGTGCTTCCGGTCAGGCCGGAAGTGCGGGCCGCCCCCTCGTGGGTCGTGGGAGGGGGCAGGCGGGCCTGGTGCCGGCTGAGCGCTCGGCTCGCGGTCCCGACGGCCCGGCCTTGCTGCCCACCTGACGGCCGGTCTGGCCGCGTCTCTCGGGGCCGCGGTCCTGGAGTGCTCGGGAAGCCCGGGGACCCCTCGTTTCCGGGGCCGCCCAGCATGGCCTGCGGCAGCACCGGGCAGCTACCTGGGACCCCCCCCAGCCCCGCCTGCAGCTGCAGTGTGCCCCTGTGCGAGGGCGCCCCGGGGACCCGCCCTCCTGGGACCCCCCCAGCCCCGCCTGCAGCTGCAGTGTGCCGCTGTGCGAGGGCGCCCCGGGGACCCGCCCTCCTGGGACCCCCCAGCCCCGCCTGCAGCTGCAGTGTGCCGCTGTGCGAGGGCGCCCCGGGGACCCGCCCTCCTGGGACCCCCCCAGCCCCGCCTGCAGCTGCAGTGTGCCGCTGTGCGAGGGCGCCCCGGGGACCCGCCCTCCTGGGACCCCCCCAGCCCCGCCTGCAGCTGCAGTGTGCCGCTGTGCGAGGGCGCCCCGGGGACCCGCCCTCCTGGGACCCCCCCAGCCCCGCCTGCAGCTGCAGTGTGCCGCTGTGCGAGGGCGCCCCGGGGACCCGCCCTCCTGGGACCCCCCCAGCCCCGCCTGCACCTGCAGTGTGCCCCTGTGCGAGGGCGCCCCGGGGACCCGCCCTCCTGGGACCCCCCCAGCCCCGCCTGCAGCTGCAGTGTGCCGCTGTGCGAGGGCGCCCCGGGGACCCGCCCTCCTGGGACCCCCCCAGCCCCGCCTGCAGCTGCAGTGTGCCCCTGTGCGAGGGCGCCCCGGGGACCCGCCCTCCTGGGACCCCCCCAGCCCCGCCTGCAGCTGCAGTGTGCCGCTGTGCGAGGGCGCCCCGGGGACCCCGCCCTCCTGGGACCCCCCAGCCCCGCCTGCAGCTGCAGTGTGCCGCTGTGCGAGGGCGCCCCGGGGACCCGCCCTCCTGGGGCCCCCCAGCCCCGCCTGCAGCTGCAGTGTGCCGCTGTGCGAGGGCGCCCCGGGGACCCGCCCTCCTGGGACCCCCCCAGCCCCGCCTGCAGCTGCAGTGTGCCGCTGTGCGAGGGCGCCCCGGGGACCCGCCCTCCTGGGACCCCCCCAGCCCCGCCTGCAGCTGCAGTGTGCCGCTGTGCGAGGGCGCCCCGGGGACCCGCCCTCCTGGGGCCCCCCAGCCCCGCCTGCAGCTGCAGTGTGCCGCTGTGCGAGGGCGCCCCGGGGACCCCGCCCTCCTGGGGCCCCCCCAGCCCCGCCTGCAGCTGCAGTGTGCCGCTGTGCGAGGGCGCCCCGGGGACCCCGCCCTCCTGGGACCCCCCCAGCCCCGCCTGCAGCTGCAGTGTGCCGCTGTGCGAGGGCGCCCCGGGGACCCGCCCTCCTGGGACCCCCCAGCCCCGCCTGCAGCTGCAGTGTGCCGCTGTGCGAGGGCGCCCCGGGGACCCCGCCCTCCTGGGGCCCCCCAGCCCCGCCTGCAGCTGCAGTGTGCCCTGTGCGAGGGCGCCCCGGGGACCCGCCCTCCTGGGACCCCCCAGCCCCGCCTGCAGCTGCAGTGTGCCGCTGTGCGAGGGCGCCCCGGGGACCCGCCCTCCTGGGACCCCCCCAGCCCCGCCTGCAGCTGCAGTGTGCCCCTGTGCGAGGGCGCCCCGGGGACCCGCCCTCCTGGGACCCCCCAGCCCCGCCTGCAGCTGCAGTGTGCCGCTGTGCGAGGGCGCCCCGGGGACCCGCCCTCCTGGGGCCCCCCAGCCCCGCCTGCAGCTGCAGTGTGCCGCTGTGCGAGGGCGCCCCGGGGACCCCGCCCTCCTGGGACCCCCCCAGCCCCGCCTGCAGCTGCAGTGTGCCGCTGTGCGAGGGCGCCCGGGGACCCCGCCCTCCTGGGGCCCCCCAGCCCCGCCTGCAGCTGCAGTGTGCCGCTGTGCGAGGGCGCCCCGGGGACCCCGCCCTCCTGGGGCCCCCCAGCCCCGCCTGCAGCTGCAGTGTGCCTCTGTGCGAGGGCGCCCCGGGGACCCCGCCCTCCTGGGGACCCCCAGCCCCTGTCTCCCCAGCACAGACTGGCTGTGCTGTGCCTGCAGGCCAGGATCCCCAGGGTCGTGCAGGGGCAAGTAAGCAGGGCTGCTCCTTGGGCCACTCTGTTCTCCCAGGGACCCACCCTGGCACACAAGGTGGAGGGGTGTGGCAGGAGGGCAGACCTCATTGAGACCTGATGACCCCAAAAGTAGGGCTGGGGCCAGTTTCCAAAACAAGCGCCAAGGGAGGCAGCTGTCAGCCCTCCACATGAATCCCAGCCAGGCCCTCATGGCCTCAAGGGGCCAGTTCAGCATACACCAGGTCAATGCCTGCACTCAGCTCATGGTGACATCACCCAGCACTCCCGAGGGGGTGGGGGTGGGAGGAGGCAGCTGGGCCCCGGTCCAGGACGGGGGTGGGTCGGGTGGACTCCGCACACAGTGGCTGAGACCTTGCTCCCCAGCTTCTCCACGGAACACCTAGAGTCCCTTCAGAGCATGGGAGGGTCAGTGTGCCTGTCCTCTACAGAGAGGGCCCCCAGGATGGAGGGGAGTCTTGCAGGCCCTACGCCACATTGCCTGAGTGCCCCCTCTGGGCAGTGGTGTCCACAGAGTGGGTAGGGGGGTGAGGCTGGGTGGAAGCTGCTGACGGTGGCACCGGGCCCACCAAAGGGGCCCCTCACACCCTGCAAGGTCCGCTGAGCTGAGCCAAGCCTCACCCATGCCGGCCCAGCTGCCGCTCCAGCTGCGCCCTGGGTCTCAGATGCCGCAGCCACAGGAAGGGGCCAGACAGTTTGTTAGCATGCCCGGTTTTTCCTTCTTTATTGAATGACTTTGAAGATGTAATTACAGCTGAAGGTGACGAGTTAGAGAGGACAGGTGCACTGAAGGTGAAGGCTGCTGGCAGACCCGGCTCGGGACAAGTGGCAACAGGAACGAGGGTTAAAAGGCATGAGCCGTGCGGCCTGTGGGCAGGTGGGTGGGCCCTGGGGCCCCTGGGAGAGGCCTGACTAAGCAGGCGGAGCCCCCAAGCAGCTGCAGAAGCAGAGCAGCCCCTGCCTCACGGTCCCCAAGGCCCACTCACACGCCGTCTCTAGGTGACTTCAGCCCCAAAAGGTAACGGGGGACTTCAGGACAGAAAACCTCAGAAGTAAAAAGGCTAATAAGTGTAGCAGAGTAATACCAGAGAAGTTATATACACAGGCGTTGACGGCCCCTCCTCAGAATGTCCGGTCACTCTAGGGGCCCTGCAGGGTTCCCAGCGGCCCTCCCCGCAGCAGGTGCAGCCGGGGCCGCTCAGTACACGGAGCTGTTCCGGATGCCGCAGCAGAGCACCATGCTCAGGATCATCTCGAAGATCTGCGGGGACGGGTGGGTGGGACTGTCAGCACCCAGAGACTGTGGGGCCACCTCGCGTGGATGCCTGGCCCGTGTACTCACCATGATCACGGCCACCACGATGGCTGCAATGCCAATGAGGTACAGCTTCCCCGAGAAGAGGTCATCGATCTTCTGGTGGCAGTCCTCCTGTGGGGGACAGCCCGCCGACGGTCAGGAGTGCAGGCCCTCGGGCCCCTCAGTGCAGCGGCTCGGGGTCATTGTGGCAAGATAAAGGAGGGGCTCGATTCCCTGAAGACGTGCCACCAGGGCCTGGTCTCTGCCAGGTTATCTCACGTCCATTTTAAAGCAGACGTGGAGGGGGCGCCTGGGAGGCTCCGTGGGTGAAGCATCTGTTTTGGGTTCAGGGCAGGTCCCGGGTTCTGGGATCAATCCCCATGTTGGGCTCCCTGCTTAGCAGGGAGTCTGCTTCTCCCTCTGCCCCTCGCCCTGCTCGTGCTCTCGCTCTCTCTCTCTCAAAATCTTTAAAATAAATAAAGTAGATGTGGACACGGAATGTGCTGTGTGCAGAGCCGCACAAGCCACCAGGAGCCAGGGGCCCAACCCAGCTGGGCTGCTGGACGCGACGTGGGGCCAACCCTGGGCGGCCCAGTGGGCCCCATGTACCTTGAACAAGTTGCTAATGACGTTGCTGCCAGAGGGACACAGGCTGTTCTTGAGCATGGAGGTGGTGAGCGCGGAGAGCGTGCTGGAGCCGCAACAGTTGAGCTGCATGGAGGACACCTGCGGTCAGCCCGGGCTGTGTGCACAGAGGACCGCAGGGACACGGCCAGGGACATACACCCCGTGGGCTGCCCAAGCCCCAGGGGTGCCCCAGCCAGGGAGGGTCTGCTCCTCAGGAAGAACAGCAGCCCAGGACTCCTCATCCCCTCCACCCTTGGCTGTGCTGCTCAGAGACCCCCGCGCCCTGGACTTCCTGCTGCCCATCTGGCTCACACAGGGGCCCTGCAGGTCCCAGACAATCCCCCCCGTGGGGGGGAGGTCCCAGATAGGGCTCCACGGCCCCCCAGCAGAAGGGCTTCCAGGTCTCCAGTGCCCCACGGAGACCAGATTCAACCCTAGCTGGGCCTCACTCACGGAGGACAACCCTCCCGCACCCCCAGCACCCCCTGCCGCACCGTCTCATGGAAGGTCTTCACCACGGCCTTGGCATTGTTGGCTTCATCGTCCACCACGGCCTGCTGCAGAGCCTGGTCGTAGAATTGCTTCACATCCTTGGCGATCTGGGGGGAGGGTATGCGGGAGGGCCGAGGTCACCCCACAGCAAGGACCACCCCAGGGAGGGGGGCAAGCAGTTCACCTGGCTCTCCTGAGAAGATAATGCTTCCAGGGTAGACCAGGATTGCCCCCCAACACCACTCGAGGCTGGGAGACAGGTGACCCTGCCTTCTCCTCAGCCCCCGCGCCACCTCCTCCAGAAAGCCCTCCGTGGCCTTTCTACCAGGCAGGCCCCAGGGGGAGCCCCAAAGAGCACCCTGTGATCCCAGGGTAGGCCCAAGGTGAGCAGCAGGCGGGCACCCCTCCCTCCTGACCCCGCTGGGATGGGCCCCACCACCGTGTTCCCGGGCTCACCTGGTCTTTGTTGACAAAGCCCCAGATGCCGGCAGCTACTTCACAGGCGAACAGGATGACGAGGCAGGTGAAGAACTGGGAAGGCCATGCAGGACCCAGAGGGGAGGGCAGAGATATGCGGGGTGAGAACAGGCGTGGGGCCACACAGATGCCGGACGCCCGAGTGACCCGCAGGTGCATGTGTGGGGTTGGTCTCCACTCCGCACGTCCCATCCAGGGAGCAGCCGTGCGGAGGTGAAAGGCAGCGAGGGGGAAGACTCAGTCCCAGCAGTGACATACCAAGTGTTCTCAGCAGCCCTACAGGCTGGGGCTAGGGCCCCAAGGGAGCCCCTTCCACACCCCACTTCTCCCTCTGCCCACTGGAAGGGGGCATCGTGACACGGCCACCCACCGCCCCATCTCCCGACTGCCTGGGCCTCTGTGTCCCCGTGGAGGTTGGCCCAAGGACTGGGACATGGCCCTATTGTTTCTGGCTTTTTACTAAAACCAGAGAGGAAAACTGTGGAACTCTGAGTTTGGAACCAGACATCCCAGCAGTCAACCAGAACCGGATTTCAGGACCAGAAAGGGAACCTGGGGGCTGACGTTCTGGGCTAGGTCCCCAGGCTGCCCTGCGAGCCCCCCTCCAGGGCCTCCCACAGTGGCAAGGGGTGCCCCAGCAGAGCTCCAGGCTCTGTCTGTGTCCCCCAGCCCCGCTCACGACCTTACCGTCCCCAGCAGGCACTGGGACTCCTGGATGGCCCCATAGCAGCCCAGGAACCCAACGAACATCATCACAGCGCCCACGGCGATGAGAATGTAGATGCCTTTGTGGGAGAGCAGGGACACCCTCAGTGAGCAGCGTCCCAAAGGCCACGGCCCCTCTCCAGCCATGTGTCCCACCCCCAGCCCAGGACTTGGGCCCCCCTGCGCTAGTGGAGGGCACTGCGGCCTGGCCGTCGGAGTGAGCACCCCCCTGCATGTCTGCACCTGGAGCCAGGCTGCTGAGGGGGCCCGGTGGGACTGACCGGCAGGGGCGAGCACTCAGAAGGCTCTGCCCTCAGAGCTTCACACGAACTGTTCCCGGGGTGAGGCCCGTGCAGCCTGCACCCACTCTGGTTCCCAAGAGCCCCTGGGATGAGGTGATGACCACAAAGGATCATCCCCTCCAGGTGCACAGGGCCCTGCTCTTGGCCCAAGGGGAGAGGAGGGGACATAACCCCAGGAGGGGGCTTGAGCCAGCTTGCAAGGCCCTGATCCCGGGGACCGGAGCCTGCTGGATGAGGGGGCCTGGCCCCATGGAGGATGGCGTGGTGACTGCACACAGGGGCTGCCCACCAGGCTGGGCACGTGCTCCTGGGCAAGCAGGGAGGGCCACCAGTGCGGATGCCCCTGGCCCACCCACACAGGGCCCTGAGACCACTGGGAGATGCCAACTGTGGCCTTCCAGCAATCCTGGGCCTGGGCCTGTCCCCCTGCCATCACAGCAGCCCAAGCCCCTGTCCATACAGCCAAGGCCCCAGGTTCCAGGGTCTGGCCAGCCTGGCGTCCAGGCCCAAACGCTGTGCTGGGAAATGGCCGAGGGCCTCCTCCTGGCCAAAGCCTCTGCACAGCACTTGGTGGACCTGGCGGAAGAGAGGCCTCCGGCCATGGCTGGCTCAGGGGCTTCCTGCTCAGGGGGCACAGCACCCTGCAGCTCAGTCTCCCTGCCCTCGGACCTCAAGGAAACATGGGTCCCCGATCCCGTCTCACTACGGGAGCTTGGGCACACTGCAACAGGTGCAGGGAGGAGCTGCCAGATGTTCTAGGTCATGCCAGGGGCCAGACACCCAGGGGCAGGCATCTGACCCGCAGCTCCTTGAGAACCCTGGGGTCTGGTTCCCACAAGTGTGGCTGGGGACCCACCAGGCCCTGTGGCATTGCCTGGGGTGTCGAGTGTGCCCTGCTAACCTGCCTCCCTGCCAGCATCGGACAAAGAACCCTTGTCAGGGCGTACATCTGCTCCCCCACCACCCTGGCAGGCCTGGCCCACCTTGAGGCCAGTGGGAGGCTCTAGAAGACCAGTCCTTGATGGGCAGGGACACAGCAGCCCATGGGGGACACAGTAGCAGCTCAGGCCTAGGGCCCTCCAGTGGCCCTAGGGCTGGAGCTGCCTCCCCAGGGCAGGCTCCCCTCAGTGTGTAAGTCAAGGTCAGCCTCATGGCAACAGCCCAATGTAGTAGCTGTGAGGGACAGCCTCTGGACAACAC